GAGCCCAGAAGGGAGGTGCTCAGGCTGTGATTCCAGGCAAATGGAGGGGGTGGGGGGCTAGGCAGGGCCCTAAGCCCATCCTCCCAAGAGAGAGTCCTGCGTGGGCCACCTCGTGTCCATGCCTGCAGGCACAGCCCCAGGCCCAGGTGTGTCTCACTCCAACCTTCCCTCCAACTCCAAGTTCTAGGTCCTTCTCCCTCCCTTGGGAGTGCTGGCCTCTGAGTCACTCAGACCCTCAATCTTACTCCCGGAAACACTAAAGGTCTGACTACACCCTCACCCATGGAGGAAAGCCCTACAAAGACTCCAAGTCCCCAGAACCCAATGGGAAGGCAGGCAGCCCACACCCTCCTGGGGGCACAGGGGGACCTGGATGTATGTGGACCACCTGGTAGCCGCCCACACACACGGCCGCATGGACAGACAGTCATTTAGGCAGAACGTGTGCCTGGAACCCGAGGGCGAGGGCACAGGGCCAGGCTGTGGTGTGTTACCCCCTCCTCCCTCCCTGGGCAGAGCAGATCCCCAAGGGGGGCCATCTGCCCGGTGCTGCCTTCCAGCTGAGTCTCAGGCCTCATTTTCCCAGGAAGAGGCTTTCCTGGAGAGCTCCTGGCTGCCAGGAACCCAGACTTCAGTCCCGGGCACCTGGGGGACACACCTCTACATCTGCCCGCCCTGCAGCTTCCACTCTCTCTAACTCAGAGTCCAGGCCTCCCCTAAGGACCAGGTCACAGTGAGAGAGGAGGGCTTCCACCCTGGCCTCGGGGGGCAGGGCTCCTGGCACTGAGAGGTCTGGGAGGCCACCACCCCATTGTAGAATCAGACTGGGGACCAGCCTGTCACTGCAGGGTATGGAGCCTCCTCACCCACAGCACAGGCTACCTCAGGCTCCACAGGCTCTCCTGGGTCCTGGCCCCAACCTGCAGGTGCAGGACCCACCCCAGCCGGGCACCAGCCATGCTCACCAAATCCAACTCCAGCAGGAAGTGCACGTCACTGTCTGGGGCAGGGGGGGCTCCACAGCCCCTTCTCACTCCCTGGATTTGAAACTGAAGCTCCTCTGTCCACTGGGAGCCCCGCCCACCCCCAGGGAGAAAGGAGGGGCTCTGATGAGCCTGAAGGGACAGTGCAGGACTGTGCATCTCCAGCAGGGGCGCCAGCGACAGGACAGATGCCTTGGGGGATGGGGGTCCCCTCTCCACCCTCCTCTCTGCCTCCTCCAACCAACCAAGACCCCGGAGTTGGGGAAGCCAGAGGGGTTGCGGGGAACAGGGGGACTGGCCATCTGGGGCCCCTGCAGGCCCTCCCTGCTGGGGAGAAGCTCAGGATGGGAGACTGAGGATCTGGTGGAAATGAGGCTGCATTCATTTGGTCCCAGGAGTTGATCACATTGGAAAATGGGGGTTCGGCGCGCTGCGGGGTCAGAGGGAGCAGCGGTGACCATGGAAACACAGCATCTCCTGTTTGCATGCAGCCACACCCAAGTCATTAAAGCCTCCATGACACACTGACTGCAACTGAAGGAGGAAGAGGGACGGTCTGCACCCTCTGGGGGCGGCCCTCCGGGCTGTGGCCTCCAGCCCCGGGCAGCAGACTCCCCTCTGCCCCAGCCAAGGGAGCCGCCAGGGCGCCCTCTTCCAGCTGCAGCCATAGATGCCCATCCCACCTGGTCCCCCTCCCAGAGCCTGGGCTCCCCCAGCCGCAGGCA